CGATTTTACGCCAACGTCCCCTGTTGGCTCCGCTCCCATCTCCCTCCCCCAAACAAAACACAAACCCAAACTCCAAAAACAAGGCTCATGCAATCACATCATTGTCCCTCCACTTTCCTGTGATTGCTTGCCCCACTCTCTTCGCCCTGTAGCAATGCTAATGGGGGCGCACATAGCCAGGCTTGTGCGCGCACCTAACCCAGCATTATTCCTCCTCCTCCTCGTTTCTGCGCTTTCGTTTTCCACGATTGCATTTGGCGAGACAGATGCTGATATCCTCTTGCATTTCAAGAACTCGTTAGGGAACCCTTCTGCTCTTAGCAATTGGGTGCCATCTAAGGGTCCATGTAATTGGGATCGTGCCAATTGGGTGGGTGTGATTTGTTCAAATGGTACCATATGGGGTTTGCAACTCGAAAGCATCGGCCTCACGGGGAAGGTAAACTTTGAGACACTTGTTCCCTTGAGGTCATTGCGTGCCATAAGCCTTATGAACAATAATTTTGAGGGTCCAATGCCTGATATAAGGAGACTCAGCTCTCTAAAGGCCTTCTATATATCTAACAACGGCTTCAGTGGGGAGATTCCGGACGGTGCATTTCAGGGAATGGGGTCTTTGAAGAAATTGTACTTGGCCAATAATGCATTTACGGGTCAAATCCCGTCTTCACTGGGCACCTTGCCTATGCTTCTGGTGTTGAGGCTGGAAAGTAACCAATTTGAAGGCCAAATTCCTGAATTTCATCAGAAGTATTTGAAGGTGATGAATGTAGCTAACAATGAATTGGAGGGTCCTATCCCTGCAAGCTTAAGCAAAATGAGTCCCACTTCCTTCTCAGGTGCACACATTTTCTCAGTCAATGTTGTACGAAGGCTTAATTTTTTTATGGAATGAGATTATTCACCTTGTATTAAAAAAAATGTCAATTTGAACAAACATAGCCTTAAATGTAAATGTAAAGCCTTAATATGCAAATTTGTGGCCACATCTAAGGATGCATTTTTTTTTCTATAAAAAAAAAAGGTTTCTATTGATTATTATGATCATTTGATAATCCCATCTTTAACCATCTGTGCAATCTGCAGGCAACAAGAATCTCTGCGGACCACCTCTCCAACAATGTGGCTCCCCGCCAGCACCAAAGCCCTCATCCGAAACGAATAAGATATCTATTCTAAAAATTGCGTTGATTCTGTTAGCTATGGCATTAGCACTGGCCATCATTGCCTTGTGCATACTCTTTGCTGCCCGGAGGAGTCCAAAATCCAAAGTGGACGAATTGGATGATTCAAACAAGCTGCCACCCCCATCTCCAGTGCCAAGGGAACATAGTAAGTTACAGGAAAATACCGGTGTGGTTGCGAGTTCAAAGAAGACTGAGCCTGGTAAACTGTCCTTTTTGAAAGATGATGTAGAGAAATTTGATCTTCAGGACATGCTTAGAGCATCGGCAGAGGTTCTGGGAAGCGGGACTTTCGGATCTTCTTACAAGGCGGTGATAATGAATGGTCTAGCCTTGGTGGTGAAGAGGTACAAGCAGATGAACAATGTGGGAAGAGAAGATTTCCACGAGCACATGAGAAGACTGGGAAGGTTAAGACATCCAAACCTTCTTCCTGTAGTGGCTTACTACTACAGGAGAGAGGAAAAGCTTATGATTTCCCAGTATGTGGAGAATTGTAGCTTGGCTAGTCACCTCCATGGTAAAACATTCTTAATCATTTTATGGCTCTAAAGTTCTCGTAAGAGTAGTCAGGTCAAATGTTTGAATACCATGACCAATAGTTAAATATATTACCATAAGGTTTCTTTTGTTTGTGGTCTTTTATGTGCAGCCAACCATTCTGTCCAGCAACCGGGTCTTGACTGGCGCACCCGCCTGAGAATTATAAAAGGCGTAGCCAGGGGTTTGGCTTACCTCTACAACGAGCTTCCAAGTCTGATTGTTCCTCACGGTCACCTCAAGTCCTCCAACGTGCTTCTAGATGAGTCCTTTGAGCCACTCCTCACAGACTACGCCCTGAGGCCAGTGGTAAACCCGGAACACGCCCACATGCTGATGATTTCATACAAGTCACCAGAGTACGCGAAAACTGGCCGCATAACTAGGAAAACAGACGTATGGTGCCTGGGAATATTAATCCTAGAAGTGCTAACTGGCAAGTTCCCAGAGAACTACCTAACACAAGGGTACAACAGCAGTGCAAGTTTGGCAAGTTGGGTGAATGCAATGGTGACAGAAAGGAAAACAAGCGAAGTGTTCGACAAAGAGATGGGAGGAATAAAGAACAGCAAGAGCGAAATGATAAATCTGTTGAAGATTGGGTTGAGCTGTTGTGAGGAGGATCTTGAGACGAGACCAGAGTTGAAGGAGGTTCTAGAGAAAATTGAGGAATTGAGCATTGAAGGAGACTCCGATATAGAAGAATTTTCTTCAACAGTAGGAGAAGTTGCGTATAAAGGGGTGGAGGAAGATTTGGATCGTTGAATTTGGGGTTATGGGTAGAGATGTTTGCCCTTTTGGGTTGTTGGCGTTAATTATCTATACCACTTTGTCGACAAGGCCAAAAAAAGGTCACTAAGAAGAAAAGAAAAGTGTGTTCTTTTTGTTCTGTTACAATTAGTGATTGTGTTAGCTAGACTCGCACAGTTGCACGCTGTTAAAAACAGATATGACTGGTATTCTTTATATTTCTTCTTCTTTTTCTTTCAATTGATCGAGTTAATTTCCTTTCTTTTTTTCTTTTTTTTCTTTTTTGATTGTTATTTATTATAAGATGGTGTGTGGAAAGGTGTCGGATATATAACTACTATTTGTAAGGATATGGATATATAATAAATAAAATAAATGATAAGAAAATAAAACTTTTTCTTCCTTGAACTAAAATAATATAACTGTTATTAATCTAGCTGGTAAGCAATATCCAATTTAGAATTGGACAGAATTTACAAATCTTTTCTTTGTTGTCATTTTAAAGAAGGAATAGCAAGCCTACACCATGAGTATCAACCTTAATAGAGCGAAGGAAAGCATATTTGGGCTAATTAATGTGACAAATTTTGTATTTTTATTTAAAAAGAAAAAAGAAAATTTTATCACATGACTTAGAAATTTTAAAAAAAAATTACGTTTATAAATAAAAAATGATAAAATTTATATTCTTATTTGTACTTTTTGTATACAATAAAAAATAAATTTTTTTGTTCCTTAACTTATATATCATGTTGTTTAAGTTTAAAATCTTTTATTTTTAATGAAAAGAAATTAATTACCAATGATTCACTTATTTGGCAATTAAGTTCTTAGCTCTAAATTACTTAAATAATACTTTCTACTCTAATATAAATAACAGTGAAATAACAAAAATATCCTCATTAGTGAATTGACATGTAATTCGTTGCTCCAACATAAATAACAGTGAAATAAATTTTTAAAAAAAAAGTGTTTTACAATGCCGTAATTAACACGAACAAGCTTGACTCCAACGCCCAAGTAGGACCACTACCACGTCCACAGACAAGAGGTCTCATTGGTCTCATTACTGGCCTCACAATTGTAATTAAGCACAGTTTTATTTTTTGAAAAAAAAAATAGAGTACAGGATGATTGTGAATATTTTTGAAAGTACAGGGGGCCAAATTTGGTCACAGCCCTATTTTTAACAAAATTAAAGTTTAGAACGGAAACCAACCATTGGGAAGGGCCAGTCAGGTAGAAATTGAAAAGACAAAACCGTTGCGGTCAATCTGAATTCATTATCCGCCCTGTATTGTTGGTGACAACTTCCAACAGAAGGAAATTCATCACCCTGTACACAATTTCCAGGTAGAATGCCATTTTAAGGTTCTTTTATTAGAATTTAGAGAAAAGCCAGAGTCGAAAAAAAAATGACAATCTGTTAAGAGAAATGGAGATAAAAAGAGGCCCTGCACAAACTTACCCTATCTGCTTCCATCAAAAACAAAAATCAGGAGAGGTTTTAGGGCTCTCATGTTACCCTTTTTTCTTGTAAATAACCCCATGGTAATAATTAGGGTAGCTATGAATTTTTGATGTTCATACTTTCAGGGTTTGCATTAAGATTTTTTCTTTGGATTTTGAAAGATGTGGAATGCCAGAGGGAATACGTCTGCGATTAAGAAAGGTGGAGGAAATGGTCTGATTGCGGTAGCCATAGACAAGGATAAGGGAAGCCAACATGCTTTGAAATGGGCTGTGGAGAACCTTCTTGCCAGGGGCCAAACTGTTCTTCTCATTCATGTTCTTAATAGATCACCTTCATGTAATGTAACACAATCACCCTCTCTTTTGTTTCCATTATTTCTTCAAACTTGTATTACTTACCAATACATGTTTCTGGATGCAGCTCATGATGAATTCAACACGCCTGCATTGCATAAACAGCATTTGGAGAAGATAACCAGGGATTTGTTTGTCACTTTCCATTGCTATTGTACCCGGAAAGACGTAGGTTCTCTCTTTTCTCAAACAATTGATTGTTTCAATGTTGACAACTTCTGGTTTTTCATTATGAAAATTGTTCTGCCAGATACATTGCCTTGACATTATACTCGAGGACGTGGACATCGCAAAAGCACTAACAGAATACGTTTCTTATTCTGCAATTGAGTGTCTGGTTCTTGGTACCCCTTCGCGACATGGATTTATCAGGTACGTATTCTATCTGTATCTGTCCCTTGCCTTGGCTTTCCAAATTGAACAGCTTCTATAATATGAATATGGGGGTGAGCGTGACTTTATTGTTCCTTGGCATATATTGTGCAGAAAATTCAAGGCGGATATTCCAAGCAGTGTATCAAAAGCAGCACCAGATTTCTGCACTGTGTATGTCATTTCCAAAGGAAAGATCTCTTCAGCACGAAATGCTTCTCGTGCAGCCCCATTTGCCTCTCCAGTACTTGATCAAATCCAAAAACAAAATGCTATTGCTGCTGACACACTTTCCCTGCATAGCAACAGCTTGATTTCAAGAGGTTAATTTGCTTCTCCATTTTGGTTAATTACAACTCTAAACTGAAAAAATTGCAATGTTCTGAATATTCTTGGGTTGTTTTCAGTAGATAAACCAGGAAAGCCTCGTCAATCATTTGAAAATTCTGTCAGGTAAGATAGAAAAACATAACTAAATTCCTCTTAAAGGAATTGAATTATGTACGAGGGTAAAGAAATCTAACCATTGCCTTTGCTCAAAACAGGTCACCCTTTGCCAGAGCAAGAGGCTATGGGAAGTCCTTTGCAGACTTTTCCGAATCTGAATCTGAAAAATCATTCATCAGCTCAGAGAGGCCAAGCACTGACCGCAGCTCTTCCGTGCTAAACAATGACATTTTCCCTGATTCAGCACGAACCTCAGCGGTTTCATCCAGCTCTGGAAGCTTTGCCTCTCTGCGGTTGGGGCTCAGGTGGCCTGAGCAGGCTTCTGCCAGTGATATCTCACAAGTTTCACTGGACCAAAGTTCTCCCTATTCTTATACGTCCCAGCCTGTGGTAATGAGTTTATGCAGCATACATAAACTTGGCTCTCAGGTACTGTATTATAGCTTTCTCACCTTCAGTTTTTCTTTTCTATCAATACATAGGAAGATGTGGAAGCTGAGATGAGGAGATTGAAGCTTGAATTGAAACAAACAATGGAATTATACAGTACAGCATGTAAAGAAGCCCTTCAAGCAAAACAGAAGGTACATAGATAGACAAGTAACGTTTTATATTAATATTACGCTGTTTTCTGAAATTGCACAAGTAGATATGGGTTATAATAAGAGGAGTACTTACCCAGACTGTCGAGCTGCATCGCTGGAGAGACGAAGAAGAGCGAAGAGTAGAAGAGGCACGACTTGCTGAGGATAGTGCCAAGGCGATCTTGGAGAGAGAAAGAGCCAAGTGCAGAGCAGCCGTAGAAGCTGCTGAAGCAGCAAAGAGAATTGCAGAATTGGAAGCACAGCAAAGAGTGAATGCCGAAATCAAAGCCATCAAAGAAGCAGAGGACATAAAGAAGATGTTGGATACTTTAGCCCAAAGTAATGTTAGATACAGAAAATATACCATTGAGGAGATTGAAGCAGCAACAGATTTCTTTTCCCAATCTCGAAAGATTGGTGAAGGAGGTTATGGCCCTGTCTTTAAATGTCATCTCGATCATACTCCGGTAGCAGTTAAGATTTTGCGTCCAGATGCCGCTCAGGGGAGATCACAGTTCCAGCAAGAGGTAACAACTAAGAAACAAAGAATGTTTGATTCCCCCATTCCTTTCATAAATTTATATGAAAATTAATTGTCTTGTGACATCTTCCTCTTTGTCATTAATTTTTCACAGATTGAAGTACTTAGCTGCATTAGGCACCCCAACATGGTACTTCTTCTAGGTGCTTGCCCCGAGTATGGCATCCTAGTGTATGAATACATGGCTAAGGGAAGCTTAGAAGACTGTCTATTCAGGAAAGGGAACACCCCACCTCTGTCTTGGCAACTGAGGTTCCGCATTGCTGCAGAGATTGCCACAGGCCTACTATTCCTCCACCAGACCAAGCCAGAGCCAATTGTGCACCGGGACCTTAAGCCTGGCAACATTTTGCTAGACCAAAATTATGTCAGCAAAATCAGTGATGTTGGATTGGCCAGGCTTGTCCCTGCTGTAGCGGAGAACGTTACACAGTGCCGCATAACATCAGCAGCCGGGACATTCTGCTATATTGACCCAGAGTACCAGCAAACAGGAATGCTTGGAGTAAAATCTGATGTATATTCACTAGGAGTCATGCTTCTGCAACTTATAACAGCCAAGCCGGCCATGGGACTGACTCACCTTGTGGAGAGATCAATAGAGAAAGAGACATTTGAGCAGGTGTTGGACCCGGCTGTGCCTGATTGGCCTGTTGAAGAAGCATTGTCGTTCGCCAAGATGTGCCTCCGATGTGCAGAACTCAGACGGAAAGACAGGCCGGATCTTGGAAAAGAGGTATTACCGGAACTCAATAGATTGAGAGATCTGGCTGAAGAAAACGACAACCACTTCAGTTTGGCCGGCAGTGCAGGACCCTCTCCCTATCAGAGTCAATTGTCCATGACACCGGTGAGTACTAACGCTCCTTCAACCCCAAGCAAAACATAAGAGTTTTCAGTAATGTGTGAAGCCAGAAATCCCGTATTGAAAACAGAACATCTATAGCCAACTAATTTTTGCTCATATTGCGTTTAAGTCACACATGTTTCTAACGTCATGAATCTAATGTCGTGCAGGAAGTGATGAGTGATGCTCAACCCTCAGAAAGCATGAAGAGCCAATCAAGCACATCATCGAAAATAGAAGAATAAAAATCGTGGTATAGATGGGTGCAAATTTTGGAACTCAAGGATAGAGGATAAATATGCATGGATTGAATTCATTTCCTCTTCAAATATCGTAAGGAGAGTTATAGTGATGGCGTGAGACCCTATATCATTAGGGACAGGATTTTGTTAATACCCTCCTATGGTATGCTATTGGAATGAAATGAACCAAATTTTCCTTTTCTAAGATGGGGTTTAATGTTCTTCAAATTGTTTTTTCTTTGTATTTTTGTCTATATATAAGGACAAATTATACAATAAAAAATAATTAATAAAAATATTTTAATATTTTTTTATCAAATTCTTCTTAATTAGGTTAAATTTAAATTGAAAATCTCTATTTTTAAGTAAGAAATTTTTACTCATAAGTTTTGTTTGTCAATG